TATATATTGGTTTGTGTGTATATATATATATATATTTGTATATATATGTGTGTGTGTATATGTATATATATATATATATATATATATGTGTGTGTGTATATGTATATATATATATATATATATATGTGTATATATATATATACATATATATACAGTGGGGCAAAAAAGTATTTTCTCTCTTTCTCTCTCTGCACTCCCCTCCCCTTCAACTCCCTCTCTCTCTCTTGCAGGGTTCTTCCAGATTTGGATTAGAAGGTTTTCAGAACCGCAGTGTTCTCTAGGTGAGACTTGCAAACCTTCACAACAGATGTAGCCCATCAATTGTGATTCATGAAAGAGTTTAGCTAGAAGAACTGAATGCTGATTGGAAACTAACTTCTTTGATGTCCTTGTCTACACCCTTCCTCCTCACCTACTCCCATCCTCTGTCTTCCTGTCACCCTTCTCTGTACTCATCCTCTAGGTGTCAGTTTCTGGGATGTCCAAGGCAGGTGGCCTTGGGGGGCTCGGCCCCGAAACACAGACCACCAGAACAGATAAGTCCACGTCTTAAAGACTGCACAAGCCTCTAAAGATGGACACATCCACATGTAGAGACTCCCACACAGCTGCATGAAAGAGAGGCCAGATGTCACCTCTGCTGGAATCACTTTTTATTGAACCAACGTCTTTTTCTCCCTCTACAGCCCCCCAATATTGACATTCCATCAAACGAATAATAATCCATTCATGTATTTAGCACTACAGATCTACAAGTGGAGAGCAGGTAATGGATGATGACTCAGTGTAAATGGCTATTCTTCAGCACAGATCAGTGCTAGTCTCTACTGCTCAATCTTCCTCCTCCTCACCCCCTTACTCCACCTCTCTGCTCTCCTTTCCTGTACACCGCTGCTTGTCGTCCAGTCCTGCCCCCCCCCTTCAACACCATGGTAGGTGCAGGCTTGGGTGTTTGGAAGCTAATGCGAGGTGTCCGCCAGCTGGAGCTTCACCGCCTTATCCTGGCACTTATCATCTTCTGCTTACTGTCCATGGCCTTCCTAGCTTACTATGTCTCCAACAGCCCAAAAATCAAGGAGGCCCCCCCTTTACCCTTTAGTGACTGTGGTGGAGGAGGAGGGATTTCACCGGGTGTGAGTACTGGGGACGCCGGAGGGGGGCCAGGTATCCAGAGGGCCCCGCTTTTTCTTCCACAGCGCGAGGGTCGACTACGACAGGTAAAGGCGGTGGACATTTCCAGGACAGACGCCGTGGTTCTGGTGTTTGTAGAGAGCATCTACTCCCAGCTGGGCCAGGAGATTGTAGCAATATTAGAGTCAAGCCGCTTCCACTACCGGACAGAGATTGCTCCTGGTAAAGGAGACATGCCCACATTGACAGAGCATAACCGTGGACGTTACACACTAATCATCTATGAAAATGTTTTGAAATATGTCAATCTGGATGCTTGGAACCGTGACTTGCTGGACAAGTACTGCGCTGAGTATGGAGTAGGAGTCATTGGCTTTTTCAAAGCTAATGAAAACTCTCTTCTCAGTGCACAGCTCAAAGGCTTCCCGCTCTTTCTTCACTCACACATGGGTCTCAGGGACTACCGCATAAACCCCAATGCTCCTCTACTCTTCATCACCAAGCCCAACCAGGTGGAGCAAGGCCCTTTACCAGGGGACGACTGGACCATTTTCCAGTCCAACCACTCTACCTATGAACCAGTGCTTCTGGCCAGCACCATGTCCTCCGAGGCACTGGCCCATTTTGGTCCTGGCCCCCTGCGGGCGCTCCACGCCACAGTGGTCCAAGACTTGGGGCTCCACGATGGCATTCAAAGAGTTCTCTTTGGAAATAATCTTAACTACTGGCTTCACAAGCTGGTGTTTGTAGACTCCATTGCCTACCTGACGGGGAAGAGACTGTGTTTGTCCTTGGACCGCCACATGCTGGTGGACGTGGATGATATATTCGTTGGCAAGGAGGGAACCCGCATGAAGGTGTCAGACGTGGAGGTGGGTGAGCCAGTCACACAAGGGACCACAACTAATCAGACATTAACTTTGGTTGGCTCACCTGGCATAGTTGTGGTTTCTGAGATGTTCACACAAAAAAAAAAAATGTTAAGAGTATGTTTTTTTATTATTTTAACGGGGGCATTATATGCCATAAGGTTTTTATCCAAGCAATAAAAGAGAAGTTAAAGAAGAATGTGCTTACAATATAATTCTAAAGATTCTTATTAATGAATTCAAGGCATATCATTGATTGAGGGGCCTTCACTTGGCTCGAACACTCAATGAACGCAGTGCTAACAAAACCCAAACCTCACATGCACTAACATGCACGGCTAGATTACAGCTGGATTACAGTCTCTGCTGTCATGTAAAAAACTGAAAAATATGATGTCAGTGTTGTGTTTGCTTTGTGTTTCTGATGAAAACAAGTGGAATAGTGAAACAAATCTGGTATTGTACATTTTAAAGAACAATACAAGTGGTTTTGCATGTTAAAGACAAATAGCTTCTCGGTGCTTACACCTTCCATTAGTGGCAGACATTTCCCAACCATATATTGACTTTGGTCATATTTTGCCAAATTGTTAACATTTACAAAATAATTTTTTCAAATTGGCAAACCACCTTATAATTTAGAGTTTCAGCTTTTCTAAATGTATTGCAGATAACAAATATAATGCAACTAAATATGACTAAGGGTTTTTGATCATTTTCCCTTTTTTTTCAATTAAGATCTATAAAAGAAAACCAGTGTGAGCTGTATTTTTCATTCTTTCACAGGCACTGCTCAACACTCAAAACAAGCTGAGAGCACTGGTCCCTAATTTCACCTTCAATTTGGGATTTTCTGGAAAGTTCTATCACACAGGTATGAAACATGTTATTATTGAATACACACTGCTTTCTATTTGCTTAGGGGCTCTGGATGTCTACTCTTGTGCTGACCTTTTATGTGCGATGCTGAAGCAGGTTACACCTTACCATAACCAGTTAACCCTACCATCTCAACTTCTTCAGGGTATTGTTTTATAAAGCAATATTTAATATTGTCAGTGGGACAGCAGTGTTTTCCCTAGAAAACGCTGTTTCTCTCTCTGTTTTGCTCCGTTTTTGTGTGTGCCGGCAACAGCATACATTCACTGCCACAAAGAAGAATTATAAAATTGGGAAAATATGCCATTGAATGTGCCATTCACTCTAAAATATGAAACTTAAAATGTACAATTGGAAACCAATATTGAAACTGAAGCAGAATATTTAAGATACAGTTATAGATGAATGGGTAAAGGACGTTCTTTACCTCAGTCTTCACTGCCTGATCAGATACATGTATATTAACATGAGGCTAGAGATTGCTGTGGCACTAATTGTGTGTGTGTGTGTGTGTGTGTGTGTGTGTGTGTGTGTGTGTGTGTGTGTGTGTTAGGTACTGATGTAGAGGATCGTGGAGATGACATGCTGCTGCAACACAGGATGGACTTCTGGTGGTTTCCTCACATGTGGAGCCACATGCAGCCGCACCTCTTTCACAACGTCAGCGTCCTGGCTGAGCAGATGAGGCTCAACAAGATCTTTGCTCAGGTGAGCACCACTAATTCTCTGTGACAAGGCACAGTGTGTGGCTATGTGGAGGGTGGAAGGAGTATGTAGCTGTGGGCCTACAACAACACTCAAACATAGGTGTAGTGAATGGCTAGTGTTACGACTTCATGACCACAGGAGTAGTGTCAACTTCAAAGAGTGTGGAGGTCTTTTGGACCTGTTCTAGACATTGTAGGAATAGCACTGAAAGGAATGTGGGTATGTAAATCAGCAGTACACTTTATCTTCTTGTCGTTCCCATGCTCCTCCTCATGTGCCCACATCCTGTCCTCTCTTTAGGAGCATGGGATCCCCACAGATATGGGCTATGCAGTGGCTCCGCACCACTCTGGGGTTTACCCAGTTCACAGCCAGCTCTATGAGGCCTGGAAGTCTGTGTGGAGCATCAAGGTGACCAGCACTGAGGAGTACCCTCACCTGAGGCCAGCCCGGTACCGCCGCGGGTTCATCCACAATGGCATCCAGGTCAGTCCACATCGCCAAAAGTTTCCTATTGGTCAACATTTCTCCACACTGAGAAATGTCTCCACACTTCATCAATAAAGATGGATGTGGAAGTTTTAATAAAACTTTAGCAATTGTTCAGTTTAGCAGAAAATAGTAACACCGTCACTTTGTGCGACCTTAACACACATTTTGGACGCTTTATGCTGAAAGACACTCGTTGCAATCTATTTCAGTAACAAGGCTCAGGTGAAAGGGTTGGCAGCATGCCACATCAGGCTCACATATAAAGTTTATGGTACTGAGCTGAATGAGACATACACACTCAGAGGCCTGGTGCAGGTCTGGTTCGATATGTTTTTTGAAAATGTTAACATTTGTATACATAGTACAGCAGCAAGCCTTTCACTAACTCCGCTTTAAAATAAACTTAAATGTCCCGCATTAAGAAAATAAAGTTGTGATAATCTGTAAATTGTGTCCGAGGGAGAGGAGTTTCCAGTTGAATCTTTTCAGAAAGGATTTGGATTCAGCCTTTCTGCTTTTCCAAAAGAATCATATAGCTAAATATAGCAGGATCTCTAATACATGCAAAATAAAGAAATGTGACCTTTGCACCACTCACAGATGCATACATCAGTGTTTCCCCTACCATTGTCTTGGAGAGGCACTGCGCCCTGCCAACGGAGCCCCACGCCTCCCCTAAAATTCAAGGTGTTTAAAAAAAATATATATATATATACAGTGGGGCAAAAAAGTATTTAGTCAGCCACCAATTGTGCAAGTTCTACCCACTTAAGAAGATGAGAGAGCCCTGTAATTTTCACAAAATGAGAAAAAAAAATCAAAAAAATCACTGTCTGATTTTTAAAGAATTTATTTGCAAATTATGGTCGAAAATAAGTATTTGGTCACCTACAAACAAACAAGATTTCTGGCTCTCACAGACCTGTAACTTCTTCTTTAAGAGCCTCCTCTGTCCTCCACTTGTTAACTGTATTAATGGCACCTGTTTGAACTCATTATCAGTATAAAAGACACCTGTCCACAACCTCAAACAGTCACACTCCAAACTCCACTATGGCCAAGACCAAAGAGCTGTCAAAGGACACCAGAAACAAAATTGTAGACCTGTACCAGGCTGGGAAGACTGAATCTGCAATAGGTAAGCAGCTTGGTGTGAAGAAATCAACTGTGGGAGCAATTATTAGAAAATGGAAGACATACAAGATAATAATGATAATCTCCCTCGATCTGGGGCTCCACGCAAGATCTCACCCCGTGGGGTCAAAATGATCACAAGAACGGTGAGCAAAAATCCCAGAACCACAC